AAGAATGAGTTATAAGAGAAGAAAAAAGCAGAAAAAAAAATCATGGAAAATGCCCTATATAGAACCTGGCTGGCCAGGTGGGCGGGGCGGCCGACTCTTCACTAGCGAACGGCGCTATCCTCTCGCCTTTTTGAGATGCAAAACTAGTACATACTGCATCCTCATAGGGAGGGCTATGATATCCAGAGAGGGCGCGGGAACATCAAATGAACGTGGGCGCTGCCTTTAAGCGGTGATTTAATTGTCTTGTCAAAGGCAGCACGAGCTGAGGAATCCAACTTCACCTTGGATGCCCATTAACAGCAGATGAAGCCGCCTTGCTCCTGATGTTACTACAGGATGATGGGCTGGAGTAGACATTTACAAGGAAGGTCTTTGAGGTCGTGGCGCGCTTTTCGGAAATGGTTTGTTGCTTGTTGTAGGGTCCATACAAGGATCACAAAAATGGGTTTCATTTTTGCTATGCGTTTCTGGGGAGGTCAAAAACTGAGTGAAAAAATTTGACAAGAATGGGCGATTTTAACAATCTTAAGTGGGCTCCGTTCTGATTGTAACTTCGAGCATGCACAGTTTATGAGTGCGTTAATTAGGCCTCGAAAATAGTTTTCAATAAAGTATCGTATCGTTTTCCCATCAGAATCCATCGAGTTATCCGCTGCGCCATCCGATCCGCCGACAGTGAGCATGAAGACCCGACTGACAAAAACATCCAGTGTTGTGTGTTACTACATGATACTTACATTTTGACTTTATTTAAAACTATTTTCGAAGCCTAATTAACGAGCACCTCATAAACTATGCATGCTCGAAGTTACAATCAGAACGGAGCCCATTAAGATAGTTAAAATTGCCCATTCTTTTTAGTGTGTATGTGGTGCTGCAAATATGCGCCACGGGAAAAAGGAAAGCAAAGTGTCAACTTGTCATTGCTAAAATTCTATATTATTTTAATCTTTGTTTCTCATGAACTTTCTTGAAATCAATAATCCTTACTCCCTTACTGACGAGCACAGAGCGAGGGTTATGCTTTTGCTCGGCTTCCGTCAAAGGGTACGTGCGAGATGGGCTACGATTTCGACCCTCCCCCTCCCCTCAATATTTCCCATTTGTTCCATTTTCCAACATATCTGGTCAATTCATTCTCATTTTCAACGATTTTTCTCCGATAACAACGAAATAGATCACGAGGCACGGACGCAAAGGACACATATTATTGGAGTGAGCTATAATCGTTTTCAGCTCTTCCAAAGTCATATTCCTTAGCCAGACCAGAGGGTTCAAAAAACTCTTACCTCTACGATTCCATTCAAAAACTTCCGCCGTCCGGCCATCTTCCTTTGTTTGAAGTAAGCCGCCAAAGGACGACCTGCCAACATGACGGGTATACAGCACACCGCAGTGAAAAGCAAACATTTCTCGACGAATGCCTGAAAACACTTATTATGTAGCGGTGGTTAATATCGAAGCGATTTTGGCTCCTAATCACAGTCAATTTTATTAAACGCATCGCATGACTAGTGCACACCCATCCGGCCTTGTTGCCCTGGTCAGACTTCAGTGTATGTGGTCGACGTATCGGCGCGCAGTTCGGCGACGGGAGGGGGGGAGGCATTTTGCACTTTCACTGCCACTACTTCCGGTTTACAAGTCTCACTCTGGTGAAACTTGTGACTAGATGACCGTATCGGCGCAGTTCGGCAACGGAGGGGGGAGGGGGGGGGGGTGCATTTTGCTTCCTATCGATGTGACGACCCAGATAGCCTTTTCTCGAGTTGACACGTTTTACCATGGTGGCTAGACGAGCTTGCTCCAGCTTCACAAGAGTTCACAAGTTTCACCAGAGTGAGACTTGTAAACCGGAAGTAGTGAAGCAGTGAAAGTGCAAAATGCCCCCCTCCCGTCGCCGAACTGCGCGCCGATACGTCGACCAACATACACAGAAGTCTGACCAGGGCAACAAGCCGGATGGGTGTGCACTAGTCATGCGATGCGTTTAAGGCTAACGTTCCGCGATAAAACCAGGCTATTGACTTTCAGATGTGTCAGACGATCCGGAAGGAAATTGCGGAGGCTGCGCTACCTTTAAGTGAAAATCCGCAAGAATTCCGCTTCAAGCTAACCAATTAGGCCCAAGGGCGCCCCTTAGGCCCATGCCGACCCCACCGGCTGCTAGCTACTAGCTAGTAGCCACTATGCTATCTCTCTCCATTCCGAATGGTGAGAGTGAGGTGATACGATAAAAGAGCTGATATCTTTATGATAACGACGAGTGGAAATTCGTACAAAACATGCGTTTTCTTCACTGCATGCATGTACAAGTTGGGGTCGATATGG